CAGACTGGCACAGAAGAAACTAGATTACAGACTGGCACAGAAGAAACCAGGTTACAGACTGGGACACAAGAAACCAGATTACAGACTGGGACAGAATTCAATTCAGTTTATTTATAAAGTACCAAATCACAACAAAGTTGTCTCAGGACTTTACAGGAACATTCACATAAAAGCCAACTAGTAAAGTTCTCTATCTAAGGAACAGAAGAAACCAGATTATTATATTTTTTTTTTCACTCTATCCTCCGGTGGAACCAGACGTTTCCCTGTCTCCCGCCAAGGTTGCCCTTTGTCACCGATTCTGTTCATAACTTTTATGGACAGAATTTCTAGGCGCAGCCAAGGTGTTGAGGGGATCCATTTTGTGGCCTTAGGATTGTGTCTCTGCTTTTTGCAGATGATGTGGTCTTATTGGCTTCATCAGATCATGATCTACAGCTTTCGCTGGAGCGGTTCGCAGCCGAATGCGACGCGGCCAGGATGAAGATCAGTTCCTCCAAATCCGAGGCCATGGTCTTGAGCCGGAAAAGGGTAGAGTGCCCTCTCCGGGTCAGGGAGGAGGTTCTACCCCAAGTGGAGGAGTTCAAGTATCTTGGGGTCTTGTTCACGAATGAGGGAAAAATGGAGCGTGGGATCGATAGGCGGATAGGTGCAGCATCTGCAGTGAAGCGGGCGCTGTACCGGTCTGTCGTGGTGAAGAGAGAGCTGAGTCAAAAGGTGAAGCTCTCAATTTACCGATCGATCTACGTTCCTACCCTCATCTATTGTCACGAGCTTTGGGTTGTGACCGAAAGAATGAGATCTCGGATACAAGCAGCCGAAATGAATTTTCTCCGCAGGGTGTCTGGGCTCTCCCTTAGAGACAGGGTGAGGAGCTCGATCATCCGGGAGGGACTCAGAGTAGAGCCGCTGCTTCTCCACGTCGAGAGGAGCCAGTTGAGGTGGCTCAGGCATCTGTTTAGGATGCCTCCTGGACGCCTCCCTGATGAGGTGTTCCGGACACGTCCCACCGGAAGGAGGCCCAGAGGAAGACCCAGGACACGCTGGAGGGACTATGTTTCTCAGCTGGCCTGGGAACGCCTCGGGATTCCCCCGGAAGAGCTGGCCCAAGTGGCTGGGGAGAGGGAAGTCTGGGCCTCCCTACTTAGGCTGCTACCCCCGCGACCCGACCCCGGATAAGCGGAAGAAAATGGATGGATGGATGGATGTCCTGATGCCTCTTTCTTCTGTCTCCGTTCCTCTTTGTTCCTCAGCCCCGTCTTCCTGGTCACCCACTGCTGCTCTTGGACCTGGACTGTCCTCAGTGATGGAGACAGTTAGGACAGGAGGTGCAGTGGAAGCTCTCTGTCCTAAAACCTGGTCCATGAGGACAAACCAGGACCAAGTCGCAGCAGCAGCTTCTCACTAACTCCTTCCCCTGACCCGCCTAGATATTTGCAGTCCTGAACACAGGAAACATCACAGTTGGCAAATAGAGCAACAAACTTTTTTTTAACTTTACATGTATTAACAGCTGCACGTACAAGTTATATTCTTCATTACACATGCACATACTTTGTATTTATTTTTTAGGTTGTCCCATTTCTTTTTGCCTGCAGAGGAGTAACCTTCTCCTGCAGGCCCATCTTCTCCAAAATTATCCTAATAGCATCAACATAAAATGAATGAAGAGGAAACATGGAAAATAATGTCTTAGAAAAACTAGTTTTCACAACACAAGAGGACCTATACTTCATTAAGATCACAGGTTATGAGGGTTAATGCAACTGTACACAGAAACATAAGATGAATAAATACATTCATTCTTGTACTTCCACACCACAGCGTCTGAATGTTTTGCACCTGTGAAAATGTGTTTGTTCTCATTCTGAAGCTTAATAAAAGTTTCGGTCTGCTCCTTGCTCCCTAAAAAAAAAGAAGAAAAAGAAACAGCTTAGCGGCGATAGTACTGCAGCGCTGTACGAGCTGATCCCCAACACAAAATAATACAACAAAATGTCTACGCAAATGACAAAAGCCTATCATCTGCTTTAAATCATAACCGCTTTGGACTTTTTTTTTTTTTTAATCACACATTTTAACATACTTACGTTTAAAAATGTACGCCGTCGCTACTTCGTCCGCCATTACATCCAGAATTTTCTGTGTGCTCGCAATGCATCTTGGGATAGGGTGGACCATGAAGGGTACACGGGAACTGGCCTTCAAATCGGGGGGAAAGGAGGCCGCATTTGTGGGCCGCATTGAAGGAGTTTTCGAACTGGGACAGGCCTCAGTGTGTCGCTGTGACGTAAGCGGCCTTCAAATGCAAACTTTAAATACAGCCTTCAAATGTGGCCTTTAAATGCAGCCTTTAAATGTAGCCTTTA